CCCCCCCTCCCTCCCCATTTTTGATGCGAGTACGCCTGGGAAGGCGATCGTCTGGGACTCTATGCGTGCACATACGTCTAAGGCTGTCAAGGCGCGTGCCGTGAAAAAGAACCTACAGATGTTTGTCATTCCAGGAGGCTTGACACCGTATTTACAAACAGGCGACATTGGAATCTACAAGTCGTTCAAAGACAAGGTCTTGGTGATCATTGACGAGTGGAAATCGTCTGACCGTGTCGTCTACACGGAAGCAGGCAATCCGAAGCAGCCGCCTGTCGAGGATGTGGTCCAGTGGGTTCAAACAGCGTGGAAAGCCGTACCAGGTGACGTTGTAAGTCGTTCGGTTGCGGCAGCTGGTTTTTCGCCTAGCTTTGAGGATTGGCATATCAGTTGCCATGACGTCTATGGTGAACTGTTTTGCCGCAGTAAAGTGCTCGCATAGTTACGTTCATTACCAAGCTCACGCTTTTACTTATTTTGTAAAGAATATCAACCATCCGCGTTCTGCCAACAGCCTGCAACACTTCGAGACTTTTGGAAATAATTGAGATAATGATCAGCTCTAGGCCAGTCGTTGAGAGAGGAGGGATGATCCCTCCAATCGTCTTATTTGCTACGAGGAAAGATTTTTCTCGTCGGTCAGTCATCTACGAGCAAATCGTCAATTTTGCTACATGTTCAGTCTCGTTTATGGCAATCGTGCTGTAGCAAATTTACAAATTTGTGTTTTCAGGAAGCGCCAAATATACGGTACTTCATTCGGCGAAATCAGTTTAAAAAAGTGTTAAGCTTTTGTAATATTTGTGTGACCTTCCTCACAGTTTTTGTTTTTGTGCTTGATCTCGGTTTGGGTCTTGGTTTGAGCCTCGTTCCCCAATGCGCTCGGGATTCCTGTGGCATTGAGGAACAAGCATGGAGGAATCGGTCTCGAGCGTCGCATTAGTCGGCCAAGGCTTGAAGGCGAAAATGTACATGTCTTGAAAATGTCCGATTGACGTACGTACCTTGTCGTACAGTTCATCAATTCGGCTTCCATTTTTCACAGCCGCACAAACGGCGTGAATACAGGGGAAATCTTCAGCTTTACAATTTCCGCAAGCGCACTCTGCACCCGGAAGATCGACTACACACCAAAGGTGGATATATCTGTGTTTGCTTTGCAGCCCAATGTGCTGAACTGAAAAAGCACCGTCTAAAGAGAGTTATTGCACAAGTTGAGGCTGCCTTGGTTCGATCTTCAAGCCCTTTTCACAAAAGAGGTACCAAACGATTTGTACCAGCCGAATTAGCCCATTTTGAAGCCAATTGTCATTTTTCAGATGTGAGTTCACTGAGTCACATGAAGTGAGTGTGATAGGCGTCCAGCGGCTTTGCACTTCTCAGTTGGTTTCCCATCCAATTGCTGGTTTGCTCAGACAAATTTGATGTATTCTCACCGAAATTAAGTCGATATATTTCACAAAACTCGTATTTCACTCAGTGTTTCTTGCCGATTTTGTTCAGATATTCCGCAGTGCTGGGTCTAGAACCAACAATTTACTTCGAAAAAGCGTGAAGTCATCTTTTTCACACTGGCTGAGAGCCATTGAGTAAATGAGGCCATCGTCGGAGGGTTTGGAGACAGATTGGTTGATATTGCTCATAATGTGTCGTAGACAAAAACGATGCCCAGCTAAAGGAAACCTTTCGGAAACGGCAGATAGGAGGTCCTTTTTGGTGATCGGATACTATCTTAAAGTTTTCGAAACCAGTAGCTGCTGTTTCACGCACTCCATGTACCAATGCCAATTCTCGTTGTTTTCAGCACCAACAAGGGCTAGGACAAAGGAGACAACGTGGTTGTTGTAGTCCTTTGCAGTGGCGACGAGAAATACTCCCTTTTGTTTATTTCGCCTTTCAGGTGCGTACCATAAAAACTAGTAAGTCTCTTGCACTTTTTGGCAATAATGGTTGTCAACACTAGGAATAAAGCAAGCGCGACAAAATGTAACGTTATCGGTTTTTACAGTCAATTCTCCAGACACAACTAGGATTTGTTTAAGTCATTTTTTGAAATATGAATCTATTCGTGGTTACTTTCAATCAAATTGTCACGTAGTTTGTCGTCAATATCCATTTTCAATCGCGAAATTGCGCTTTTCCCCTGTTTGTGTCCTTTCGAAAGCAGAAAATCGTGAGCTGCAGAGCCTGTCAAAGATGCAGTAGGCCAGTCGTACATAGATAACATTTCCGTCATGACCAAGATCATTAGATGCTCAATGTCCTGGGTGGTGTTGTGCGCACTTTTCTTCTGCGTTACAACAGACCCTTCTACGAATGGAGTCTGGGTGAATCCAACGTGTTTGACGAGGTTATGAGCCAAATTCGTTTGGTCATCTACCATTTCCCGATGTTTTTTTTTTCAAAACCATTCACGAAAACGGACCCACCAACTGGTCAATTGGCGTGTCTTTATCAAAAACAATTGTACTCCATAAAGCTTTTCCATCGGTATTTTGCATTTTCAGAATTGTTAGGTTTTACACTTGTTTGTTTCACATATATCTGGAAACCACAGCAAACTGCAAACTCTGCAGTACTTGCCCTTACTGCCTCCTGAGAGGAAAAGTCGTGCTCAGACCGATCCTGTTGATGGTCTCACATTAGGCCGTAATCTTCCGCTGCAGAATTCTCACAGTCGAGAGCTGTAACAACTCGGAGCATACCCAATTCGCTCGCGGCTTGAGTATCTGATGCATCTACGACGAAACGTGCTTGGCCATACTGGGACAGCAGTGGCTTGTCAACCTGAACTACAAATGATTTGCGATGTGCAGTTGTTCCGTAGTTAAAAAAAGGGGGGCTTTCGCTTTAGTGATGAAAATACGAGTATGCTACACCAATGATAATCGGTTAAGCATCGACAACAAGTTCAGGTCGTCGAATATGCGCTTTAATGTACAGCAACTTTATCGGGAAATCTCTCATGTAGAACAATCTTGTAATGACGTCACCGATGGTCTAAAAGCACCGATAACATTGTGAGAGTTTCGTCAACGCACATTATGTGAAATGCGTTATTAAGCAATTCTTGTCAGGAAAGATGCAGGCACATGGGAATGCGATTCCTCCAGAGATCTAGGCGAGTTGAAAACACTTTAATCAAGAAGCAGACAGCAAAATGAACATAAGTCGCACTACTCCACTAGCTTGTGGGTTTCGTTTACTTAGCCAAGATGCTTGACTAACTGGTCACGTACTTCTTTGCGGCTATCCCGACAATCCAGAGAAAGACCTTGCCTGCTCGAGCTCAGCACCACCCACAGACCTCACAGCCGGATAAATCTGATGGAGAACACCGACATAGTCCACATCGTGTTAAATCTTGTGAGGTAGTCCATGAGCGCGTAAATTAGTCTAAAGCCATCACGTCATAGTTTGCTCCACGGGGATGTATTCATTTGTTCACCTACGGCAGCATCTTCGCGAGCGGAAGGACAGGTTGTTTGTTCACTACACAAAATGTATTCTAGATTATGTCGTCTCGCAGCGTTCAGACGCGCCAGCCCCTCGTCTTTAAATACCGAAGAACAGGAAACAAGAGGAACTCCAGCAATGAATGTGAACCCGTTCAGCTACAGTCTGTAATCTTCTCGGGGAGGATGAAAGCACTAATGAGCGATGTAGCGACGACGATGTCTCGGAGAGCTCCTGCAGCGACGACCTCAAGAGCGACGGCTCATCAGGTAAAGACCCAGACCACTGTCGAGCAACGATGAGAAAGCATCAGCGGCTTAGACGTGGGATCTGAATCCCGAGTGCCTGGGGTGGTCTGGCAGGTCGACAAGATCGAGCGCGATGCGGATGGCACTCTGCAGCGTGTGAGCGTTCTGTGGGACTGGCGCCCAACATCGACGAGCTAAAGGTACCGGACGTGGGAAACCGGGGGGCTCAGGCAGAGGAAATCAGATCGTGTTGCGCTTTGCTGATCGCGGCATGCAGCATTTCCGCAATATTTGCAAGACAGACGACTTTGGAAATGTTATGATCGATACCAGCGACAACCACATTTGCATGTTCACTGCTTGAATATTGCTGCGGACGCTATTGGCCGACCAGGCTTAATCCGCAGGACGTTGTCGACCAATTTTTCGCGGACGAGTTGAACCAAGGCCCCGACCTCTCAAGTTTTGCACTTGGAAACTGTTTGCCAAGTTGCTACCCAAGCTTCGGTCTCCAGGGTGTGACTTGGTCGTTAACCACTTGAATTCAAACCTGATTAGGGGTGGGCGCTGCGGAGGATGCGTGCTTTTGGAATTGGCGGAGAAGGGTGGACTCACAAATTGGCTCTATCTAGTTGGCACATACAACCGAAATTTATATGAACGCTGCGTAGTCCATCCTGTTAATAACCAAGACAAGGAGCGCACCGTTATCGACGAGAACAAGGATGACACTGCCCATAAGGTTTTGCTGTCGGATTGCAAGTGGATGAACTTCTTCTCGTTCGTACGTCTAGTCCGTGTCTTTAAGCCTCGTACATAAGTATCCGGTATATGTCTGAAGGAGATTTCACGGTGGGTTCAAAACTTTTGGACAGTAAACAAGATGCCCTCGCCAAAACAAAGTAATTTATTATTGCTGTGATGGGGCGACTCGTAATAGCTCTCTCATTTTCTCAAATTTTGGTTTAGCCACAGGCTTAGCGGAAATGTCTGCGCACACTGCGGTCGTGTTGCAGTAATTGAAAGTGGTCTCTTTTCTTGCAACTTTCTCATGTACGAATACATACTTTATATCGATGTGCTTATTCCTGTCGTGCAGCTCTGGGTTGTTATATATTTTGATACAACTTTGGTTGTCTTCCAGTATTAAATGGGCTTTGAGCTGTCGTAGCCTAGTTCTTTTAGCAGTATCTTCATCGGTAACAACTGCAGCAGAGTGTGATGTACTCTAGCTCTGTCGTTGACAGCACCACAATATGGTGACGGCATGAGATTTAACTGATCGGACTGTTACAAAACATGGTTATATGGACATCAATGTAGCGGCGTATGTCTTGGCATGCTGCGTACTCTGAGTCCATGTATGCCATGATATACTCAACGGACAGCAGAAGCTTTAAGCTCTCAATTCCCCCAAGAGTGATGCCATACTCTTATGCGCCATTTAGGTTGCGAAGTCCTCGCTTGACAGTGTTCCAGTGAGCCTTTCCTGGATTATCCAGGTACTGGCTGGCTTCACATAAGAGGTAAGCAACATCAGACCTTGTACCTGTCATCAGGCACATGATGCTACCTCCTGCTTCTCGGTTTGGTTTGGCCGCCATGAGAGCTTTATCTGCCTCATGGACGGGGCAATCGGAGGCACTAAGTTTCTGAGTGATAGGTGTGCCCTTAGGATAGCTCTCCGACATCGTGAAGCGATCAAACACTTTAGTGGCATAGCTCTTTCGGTGAATGAAGATTGAGCGAGTGGCACGATTTATTTCTATCGTCCAACCCAGGAGGTAAGATACCCCCCCCCCCCCCCCTGAATCGGTCATGTGGAACTCTGAGCTCAAGGCCGATTTTACCCGCGCAATGACTTACTTGGCAGCGAGATGATCAATACGTCATCGACGTCAACCGAAATGTAGCACGGTGCATTAAAAATGGCTTTAATGAACACGCAACGGTCCTTGACCAGGTGACGAAAACCAAGACAGTCGAGGTATTGTGCAAAGGTGAAGGCCAGACTCTGGGTGCTTGCTTGAAGCCGTAAAGGCTCCTACCAAGGAGCCAAACCAGATCAGGGTTCTCCTGTGACTAGAATCCCTCAGACTGTTCCATGGAGATCTCCTCATCAAGGTATCCATTGAGGAAAGCCGTTTTCACACCCGTTTGTTCCACCTCGTAGTCAAGATTGCTGCAAGTGTGAGCAGCAATCGAAAGACTTCTATCCGCACGACTGGCGAGAATATCTTTGTGCAGTTGATACTGAAAATCTTTGATAAAAAACCGAGCTTTACAGCGCTCAATGAGGCCAATTGCATTGCGTTTACGCACGAAGCCCCATCGGTTCTGCAGTACCTTTCGGTTGTGAAGGCGGTTTACGAGGACCCATGTCATATTTCCATAAGTGATTCGTTTCCGATAGAGCAGCAGCGTGCCAGTCAGACGCGCTTGAGGAGCGCATGGAATCATTATAGGTCTTAGGCTCTGGGTCATAACGAGCAGCTATGAGACTTACGATGATATGAAGCCTAGCCTGTTCCTCTTCCAAGTCAGCGGGCTCGTTAAGCAGTAAAGATTTCGAGTATTCGGAAAGAACGTCATGTAGTTTGACTTTTTTCACAGAACCAGTGCTGACGTCAGCATCAGCAGCAATCAAGGAGGCGTGATTCCGTTTCAGGAGGGCACTTAGGGAGGTGAGAGTTCGTTTTGAACAGGTAAAGAGAAGCTAAGTGGATCTGGTGTGGCACGCTCAAGGAACATCAGTGTAGGAAATGTATCCTCTTTGAACGTAACGTCACGGCTGAAAACGACTCTGTCCTCTGTCGTGCTTAGGAGGCGATAGCGGTAGGTCAACAAGCATGCCCATTTTTGCACGAATCTCAAGTTTATTGCGATGGGTCCCGGCGTCAGCGCAAACGCTGCACACCCAAACGCTTAGCGAAGGCTTTTTCTTATGCCAGAGCTCATACGGAGTAACCCATTTTGGAAGCACACTACTCGTAGTCAAAATGATCAAGTGCGTAACGTAGTGGCAGCACTCCCCCAAAAGCTGGCGAGGTAATTCGCCGTCGATGAGAAGCGCGCGTACGCGTTCGAGGATAGTGTGCATCCAGAGCTCTGCGACGCCATTTTGTTGAGGCGTGTAGACATTGGTGAACTGGGCGTGAGTGCCGTAGCGATCAAAGATGAACTGGTCTAGCTTTTCATATTATTTGCCATTGTCGCCTTGAAGGCGTTGGACTTCAGGATAATACCGATTGAACTGTGTTTCAAGTGTACCTATCTCGTGTTGAAGTGGTTCTTGGCTGCTTTCCTAAACTGCCCAAAGCTTTCATTGAGGTCGGACTTGCGCTGTACATATAGATAGATACACGAAGTGTGAGTAGTCATCAATGAATTGTAGTGAAATAGTGGTCGCCGCTGGGGCTAGGATAAGGCAAGGAGCCATAGATATCAGAATGGGCTTTTTCAAGAGGTGCTGTGGCACGCACGACATGGCTATCTAATGGAGCACGGTGTGCTTTAGTGAAAATGCACGAAGGATAGAAGACTTCTGGATGGCAGACGCTTGTGTGAACGCGAGTTCAGGGGAAGCTTGGTCTTTAGACATTATCCGCAGCGCGCGAAAGTAGGATGGCCGTGAAGTTTGTGTCATAATAAGATATTGGGACCCATACTTGATTAAGCCATTAAACATTAGCGGTTTTAGGAGGCGAGGCCATGATTGCTCTCAATCGCGTGCCTTCTTTCACACTTCCAGTACGTAAGTGCTTTTGCAACACACGGTGTTGCGTGATTCGGGCGTTGGCAGTAGGAGCAGACGTTGCTGGGCGAGTTGGGCATCACGACCGTGGGGGGGGG